CGACGCCGTCCCGTAATTACGAGGTTCCTGATAAATGGAGCCGTGACTCTGTTAATCCCCCTCTGCCCGTGCGCCAATTACACCAGACGGGGAGGACTCGTTTTCGCGTTCACGGAGGACTGAGCGCCGAGTTAGCACTTCAGGCATGATGAGCAAGGCGACGATTTCAATTTTTGATTGTCTTTAGTTGGCTCTTTTAGGATATGGTTCATTACAATCGTTTAGATCGTCGCGATCGGCGATGAGACGGCACTTTTTTTCTCTTCATCCCCTCCGACGTCGATTGCCATGGTTTAGTATACCCACCGCAAATTCGATGAATCTGAAACACGATACCCCGGCACGGAGATGATCATTTTATAATTGCACGCGAGTGCGGTGAGGTTTGTCGACTGATCCTTTTTTTTTTTTTTTTTTTTTTCGTTAGTCATGGATTCCAAATCAATCATCGAGGCTGAATGAAAAATCGGTTAGCGAGTCCCCCCTCCGCAATCGAATAAATTTGACGCGTGCACTTGATAATTTATTTAAAATAACGACCCTCAAGACCGGAGGCAAACTGTGTGGTCGTCCCGTGCTTTTATTTTTCAGTGGTATACGAAGCCAGAGACAGGAAGGCCGTAACGAGGGCGAGCCCGTGGACACGTCGCGAGGGACCACCCGATCGGACCCGCGGATTCCAGTGCTCGTTGAGTATACACATTTACAGCTACCGGGCTGGGCTGGGTATGTAGATCTTGGACGATTGTCGCGAAAGCGTCAAGGTGGGTTTCCCTGTGTGCGTCGTGGTCACCGCCAGCTTCATTTATCTTGTCGAGAAATTGCCGAGAGACACGTAGTACAGGTACAATAATGTGTACGAGTGCAGTATGTGCGTCAACCCATGCGATCAAGGTCGCGTGAATGTAGCAGCCCATCGCGAGATTTCGCGGAAACTGAATCCGAAGTTGTCGTTGTCCAGGTGGTGCCTTTTTGCGATGAGATTGCTGCGAAGCCACGAGATTGAATTTTTCCGATGGTGGATGAAATTCATGCCTTTTCAAAAGTGACAAATGACTTTTGGTGTCTCACTTGCGTCTACCGACATTGTGCAACTGAAATGAATACTTATGTACCAAAAGATCTTATGAAAAAGTCACCCGATTTGCAGCTAAAGTAAAACACGGCATAGCTGCATTCAATGATTCGAAATAAATCCTAGGGAAGCCCTTGTCCTTCGCCCGGGTGCATCAATTTCAATGATAGACACTCTAAAATATCAATCTCAATCCAGCCGCAGAGAGGAAAGCCTCGCCCCGCGCGCACCTTGATACAGCCATCACTGGAAAAGCTCCGTGCGCGTCTCCAGATAACAAAAAAAGAGCGAAAGAGCCGAGCACTTGAAAAATCGAAATACGCCTGCACGAGGAGCTTCTCTTCCTGGCTCCTGAAATTCTCCATTTTCAAAGAAGCTGAAGGAAGAGAGAGAGAGAGAGCACCAGGGCCTCTCTTTCGTTCTCTAGCCGACAGAGTTCCATGGGCGGTGGCAAAGCCGTGGCCCCTACTGCTCCGCGGGCGTCTCCCATTCGCCTCTCGGGAGCCACCCCTCCTCCCCTTCCTTCCTTCACCCTCGACGTGGTGCGCTGCCAGCTAGAGAGAGAGAGAGAGAGAGAGAGAGAGAGAGAGAGAAAGAGAGAGAGAGAGAGAGAGAGAGAGAGAGAGAGAGCAAGCGCGTTGAGCACGCTCTTGTGGGGGAAACCGAGGTGCTGATGCTGCTGAGTATATAGGTTGTACGTGGGGCTGCAGCCTCGTTGGACCGTCGACAAAGTCGGCCGTGGGTGTGAACGCAGCTGCTGGATGTACGTGTATATGCTAATGTGTCGATCGAGGGTATACGCGCTACAGTTTGGGGCAGATGGTCGCTGTTTGATGATATTGAAGATTTTGGAGTCTCGTGTGGCCCCTTTTGGGGATATTTCCTCGATCGATGAAACCTTTTTACCCTGGAGGTACAAATAATTATCGCATCTAATCATTGAACAATTCGTTTGGACTTACATTACGTGAGTGCTACGAGCGTTTTTTATTTGCGGTGCTATTGAGGTAAAAGAATTAATTATCGCGTAGAGTATAGGAGGGTACATGCAAATAATAAATTTTCAATACCGCCCGACCGAAACACGAAATAAAGAGGATAACAAACGCGAAAAAAGGCTCCATAAAGGAGGAGGCCCTTTTTGTTGCCTCGTCATCCCTGTTTTTTTCCCTTTCGTGTGTGCTCTCTCGTTGTTGGCTCTCTCTCTCTCTCCTTTTTCTCCAAGCGAGCCTCGATAAGCGATCCCCCCCTTTCGTGCACGCAGGGATATTGATCTAGAGCTCGAGGCCCTGCGTTGCACCGAGGAAGCGTTTTGCGTTTACTGTAATGTGCTTTGTCGCGTAGCAGCGAAAGTAGGCGTGAAAATTGAGAAAAATGTTAACGGTGCTCTTGCTGCTGCTGACGGACACAAACAGTGGAAGCAAAAAAAAGCGAAATTAAATGACAAATGTGATTTTTTATATTTTTACCTTTTTGTCTTTATTTAATTCACGTTTTATTATCATCGTCGTTTTTTTTCTTTCTCTTTATCGATATAAACATAAGCATTGTCGCATCGGTAATAATAATTATATGTATTTCATCGCTGGATTACTATACAAGGGTATTATATACACAATGAATGGAGTACACAGTGGCCACACTTAAACGACTTGTTCACTCGTACGTTTCTAGCAAATTTTTTTTTTCTTTTTCAATCGCTTAAATTTTTAACACCGAACGCGTGAAGTTAAAGCAACGCTCATGGGATCACTATTGCCATAATTAATTTTTACGTATGACTCGTGTGTGTGTGTGTGTGTGAGCATTGCTTTGACACCTCTACGTTCGATAATTTCACAAAGATTTCATATATTTACGTGTCTTTAGCGCTTAGTATTCTGGTATGAGTTTTTTTTTTTTTTTTTCACTTAAGTGCTACTTCCATACACAACATAATTAGAATTGTTTTGGTATATCGTCACAGCGACTCTGTGCAATTCAATCGTTTGATTTCTACTCGCTCGTTACAAACAGTAGCTTTTGATAATTTTTTTTTCTCGTTTCGATTTTTCATTCTTATTCTCGGTTGCGCTAAAAATAGAGATACTGTTAAATCTAATCAGGAATATGTACAAGAGGTTTGTCATGTGGTAATGAGATTGCAATGGTGAATTGAGGTTTTAAAGTGTTAGAATTAACTCAGAACAAATATTCCAAACGATTGCCAAAAAATGGGAACCAACAATCTAACCAAATCTATTACTTTAAACAATTAACGTCAATGAAACAGACACTGGTTACAATTGAACTTACCATTGGAATCGGGTAAAATTTGACCCTTTGATGGTCTATTATGGACTAATAACCATTGCGCCTTTCGATTGGGCTATCGAATGAAACAAAAATTGGAGTGAAATTATTCGTAAATAGGAAAAAATACGCCAACGAAATAAAAAGTTAAACATTCACCTCGAGCATCGAATCATACCACAAGCACACGCAATAAAGTTTCCTTATTCCATCTAAAATACATATTTATTTCTGAACACAACAACGTAACAGAGCTCAGCAATAAAATATTCACTTCAATACGCAAAATTTATACACTTATCGTAGTATTGTTTCGTATACGGTACAGACGATTGATTTTTACAACTTTCCATAACTCATTGAGAGTCAAATATATATTTATATGTAGTGTCGCTTGAAATTTATAGTCTTTATTTCGATAGAAAAGAGAACCGGGCTTAAACGATGTACACTTTTTTTTAATAATTATTATACTAAAGATATATATTTATAAGAGTTAATTTTGTAGTGAACGAGGACTTTTTTTTTTTAAAAAACCAACTTCTTTACAATTATATACACACACCATTTTATACGATTATTATTAATATTTACATCACCTGATAGAGTTCGTAAGATTCTAATATTAAAGAGCGCCGTTTTAATTCATGAAATCCATGAATCTGCGAAAAAATTGTTCGTAACTTTTCCTCGGTCAATGCAAATGAGACTCGCATTCATTTTCCTCTACGCTCGAGACACATGGCACAAATCAACGATAATCAACTGGTAAACTTCGCGTAACCAGTCGCGTCACTGGGTCGTCGTCAAAAAGAAAATAAGGAAAAGAAACAAAAAACGCGCGGACAGAGTGCATATGTTTGTAACGTAATCAATCATTCATTACAGCGCGTCAGATGTTATGTTTTCGGTGGCCTCAATGAAATTTTACTACAAAATACCACAGTTCAGTTGGCAGAGCACGAAAATACAGTTTTGTACGAGTCAAGGAGCTATCACAGGATTGTCTGTTAAGGAGCTAGAAATGCAGAAAAATTTTACAATATTGTTAAGTCTAATTTTTTTTTTTTCCGATCGCAAAGTATAATATTTTAATTGATACCTTCCTTATTCAACCGTGAAAAATACAGCATAGCCCGGAAGTTTGCTTTCAAGTTATACGTGCACTCTCCAAAGAAGATCCTTGACCAGTGGATGAGAAAACAAGATATTTTTTGATTAATCGCTACTCCAGTCTATAGGCGATGTTCATCGAAGAACGTAGCAAGGTTTCACTGATAAACCACCGCATCGACGCGACAATGAAGTTATTAATGTTAACTGCAACGTAACTCCTTGTTTGTACAGAAAAAAAAAAAAAAAAAAAAAACACCAACTCTGTACTTTACCCAACAGTTCAACATGCCAGTACCACCAACAAACAAACACACACACGGATAAAAAAACGCAAGGTAAAAAGGTCTCATCGCACCTCACAGTCCACCGCGCTCCTTCCGAGTATCCTCGCGACGACGTCATCGTCCACAGCGTCCCCGTCCCCGTTCGGCTGCTCGTACGAGTACCGGCCGTCACCGAAGGGCAGACAAAAGCTCTGCTGCTGCTGTTCCCGTGGCTCTGCATCCACGTACGTGTGTTACAGGGCCATCAGGCCATAGTCGGACTTGATGGCCGTCGGTGGGACGGCCGTAGAAACACCGCCGGGTGGACTGTGGGTCGTCGGCGCCAGGGGACTAATGCTACCCCCCGAGGCCTGCATGTGCACCATACCCGGCTCCATCATGCCCGCGTTCACGTGGCAATGACTCAGCTGCGCCTGCAAATGAGCCAACGGGTGCTGCTGTCCCACGTGGCCCTGGAAGCCGCTCGCGTGGTGGGCCTGCTGCAGAGCCCCGAACCCATCCACCGTCGGTGGCTTCACGTCGTGCACGTCCCCCAGTCCAGCCATGCCCCCGGTCACACTACCGTCCAAACTGCTCTCCATACAACTCTGGGGTGACATGTTGTTGTTCTTCCGCAGACCGTTTGCCGTCGCCACGGCACTGCCGCTGTTGTTGCTGGCGGAGGTGTTGTTGTTGTTGTTCTTGGAGGCTCGCGACTTGGAGGCCTTGCTCGGCTGCCCGTTGGCGTTTTTTCGCTTAACGTTTTTGGTGTTGGGCAGCTTGTTGTCCTTCTTGTACTTCATGCGCCGGTTCTGGAACCAGATCTTGATCTGGCGCTCGCTGAGGCTCAGGGTGTGCGCTATCTCGATGCGCCTGCGCCGCGACAGGTACTTGTTGTAGTGGAACTCCTTCTCGAGCTCGAGGATTTGCTGGCGCGTGTAGGCCGTCCGCTGGCGCTTTGGCTCCATGCCCGGCTGGTACGAGCCGTTCGCTGAAACAACAAAGACACACACACGTCACGGATGTTAGTTACATATACGTTCACATCGTGTATAAACTCATAACGCCTCGTTGATGTTACTCGTGTAATAATATAATGTACTGTGTATATATGTATTCGTGTCGCAAAAATGATGCTCGCCCGATGATTGATGAAGTCGCTGTGGTGCATCATTTGTGGGTCACCAGCGGCACTACGTGGCTTGTTTGATAAAAGTCCGGTGTATGATTTACATCGAGAAGCTTTTAAAAACCGAGACGATCGAGGCCCCACGGCAAAAATGTTAATTGGACGTGTATACGGGGGACGCGCTGGATGACGGTGTGGCGAAAAAATCCGTGGGTTACGAAATTTCGGGAAGCGATAAAAAGTTAACGCGCTCGTCCTTATCGCGCTTGTTGTGGAAACGACCCGTGTCCATTCGCACACTACGTAAATTCCAGGTGATGGACGGGAAGAATGTCACCGAAGGTGATGTTTCGGGTTTGTGTTAATGGCTAGCTCGTGCGTCTGCTTGAGAGCTACTGAAAGGATCGTCTGCGAAATTGAACGACGGGGGGGGAGGGGGAAACTTGGCGAAAACAAGCTACCGAACTGGCCTCGATATCAACGTTGCTCTATCACACGGATCGGTAGAGGAGGAGGTGGTGACGAGTCGCGTATGCAGGAGTTGTTTTCGACGATGGCTTCCTAAAAAAGAGAAACCCGGTGGTCCTGATCGGTCAGTGTCGCGCATACACGCTGCGTGGAGGGAGAGAAGCGTCAGGTGATCAGTTATGGGACGACGAAATACATTATGCGCTGGTTGCTGCTCCGTTACCGATGCCACGTATACACGGTGATAGTCGCGCGTGTAAGCGCGCGAGGACACACCGTATCGGCCCCAAATCCGTCCTTATTAGCGGCTACTACTTCCACTCTGCTTCTTTTTCCCACTCGAGTGTCAAATATGATTTATGGGAATTTGGAAATTCAATTAGCCCAACGCACCACTGCTCGAGGCTACCTTACCAGGCGACACAGATTACTGGCCAATTATCATCGACCCCCCTTCTTCCCACCTGGACAATCGGTCCATCGTCCTCAAGAATAACAAAATTTCGCACATGGCGCCTGGGCCCCGCGGACAAGAGATTGGACCCAGGAATGATCATTCACTCCACGAATGTGGGTTCTTTTTTATCATCTCATCATCCTCGCGTGCTGCGTTTGACGTTTCTTTCGTTCGTGCTTTGTAAAGCTAGAGAGGAATGGGCAGCTTTCGATGCTCCTGACAAATATTTTATCCTCGTAATGGATGGGTCGCGAGGTTTCGCTTCCGTTTCGTTGGAATTCCGTGCGAAATCCTGTAAACGTAACACGTGGGAACAACGCGAGGAATGAGGTTTCATCAAACCACGTCCAGGTGGAGTTCAGTCGACGGAGTGTTGGTCTCGCATTGACTTGCACTAATTGACATGCAACTAATTGCCCGATTGAAAATATGTAGTAAAATGAATTTTGGTTTCACTTTTGGCATCTCCATCATGACATCCAAAAAATAGTTGTTTCTCGTCCAAATAGCTTCATGAGATCTGGAAAATGTATGAATTCTGTTTGATCAATTTTTTTTCTCAGATCTTTTACTCTCGACAGACACCGTAATTTCAAGCTTGACAGAAACAAACCACGAAATTTCCCCGCATCCAGCGATCAGGTGGGCAAAAGTTAATACCGAGAAAACAAAACTCGTCGACGTGGATGTCGATATCGTGATGATCGGACCTCGTCGTGTGCGCGTGTGCGGTCATGTTTTTCCTTGCCATCAGAAAACGAGCCAACGTCATATCTACAGCGAGGGGAAAAAACGAAAGAAAAAAAAAAAGACGTGGAAGCAAGGATGAATATCGAGGCCCGGTGGTCTCCTCCGCTGGCCAGAACGGCGGACAGCAGAAGCACGAAGAGTTAAAATACGACGACGAGAGACAGAAAGCTTCGGACGCGTATAGGATTGGAATCACTGCGGGCACATTCCATTCCGAGCTGTGCCTCTGCTGGCTGGCTGACCCTTTCTCTTCTCTCGCCTCGTGTGTACGCTCGTGTAGGTATATTACACTGGACAACAGCGAGCAGCAGCCAGAGAGTCGAGAGACTAAGTAGTGTAGGTACATGTTGGGTGATGTATCATATGTATGTACGCGAGGGAAGGGACAATTACATTTCTCGCTTCGACGTGTAAATGGACACACGTAGGCGTATATATGTATATTTCTATAAGCTAGTTGATAGTTTACAACCGCATCCCGTAATCAAAGTTTGACCTCCACCTCCTTGTACTGTACTAGCTGTTGCTGCTGATGTGGAATATTCGCCGATACTGTGTATTTTTAGTGTGTTTGAATGCAGACATGAACATTTAAAATAAAATTATTCATTACTTGTGTTCCTATTTCATTGTAATTTCTATTCATACGAGTGTACTAATTATACGATTGTAAGTATCTTTATTTGAATAAAAACTATCTGAAGTAAAATTAAATTGACTTTTATGTGATTGTCTCTTGCATGGTAGCATAGTAAGGCATGTATGGATGATGCCACAAATATTATTATACGATTGAGACTATGTCTCCAGCTACGAACTAATGTTGTTTAAAATACTATTTAATATATATTATTCAGTTTTAAAGTTGTATATTATAATAAATTCTCATTAAAAATTCACTAATTTTCGTCAAAGTTGATCCAATCTGACCGAAATTCTTTAAAAAATTGTATCCAAACTTTTTATTTCAGTTCAATGAGCCTTATTTGGAAGCTTTGTCATTTTAAATTGTGAATTTTTCAATACATTCGCCATATTTCAACATTTTCTCCAGTAACTCTATATTTAATTTAAGTTTTCAAAAAGAAAAAAGACAGTCAATAGATATCAAATTATTTTTAATATTTTTTTTTAATTTCAAAATGGAATGTAAATATTGTCACAAATATTTTTTACGTGACAAGTATGTTTATCGTTCCTTACACAAAGTCAGAGATTAAGAGCCCTTTTATGGTACTTCTTTAGAGAATTTTGAATACTACTAAGCAATAAAAAAGTGTTAAAAAAAAGTGAATCAATAACTATTGTAGGAGTCTAACTTAGAATCTAAATAGAATCAGTTAAAAGAGCATACCATTGATTGATTAAAAAATTTTCTACCTTTATTCTACCAATAATTGTTGTCATGTATTGCTATATTATTTTTGTTATTATTATTATTTTATTTTAGACAATAGTAAGTATGCAATATCTTCAATTACGCCTACACTGAAGTTCAATATACATGTGATTTGAAATAATATATATTATTGCTTTTTGAGTATGAGACCCACACTATAAGTAAAGTATCACGATATATTTAATTTTGTTCCTACTAGGGTTCCAAAAATAATACTCGTAGGTAATCGTTATCTACTTACCGGTAGAAAAAGATAAAAAAATATATCATGATCACACGCACATATATCATCATAATATTATCATCATAATGAAGATGTAAGAGCTTTTATTTCTTACGTCCTGCTTGAAACCCTTTTCCAAAATTAGCATCCCACTTTAATATGGTTGTGTATGACCAAATATTATAAGTATTGAATATATTAGGATTTATCATAATTTTTAAACAGTTGTGTTTTAATAACTTCAGTTATTTTATTGCAATCGTAGAACAACTAATTTATTCGTCTGTTATATATCACTAGACTAATATTTTCTTCGTTTGTAAACATTAGTTACTAGAACTATGATAACATTGATATTTGGTATTTTTTTAGACTAGCATTTATTTTGTATTGCTTAATATTTTGAGAGAAAAGTGAAATATTTTTATTCAAACTAAACAATCATGCTTTTATACATTTGTCATGTACTAAGTTCAAAATATGGTCTTCTTCAGACGTATATTGTACAAGGACAGCAAAGGGTCATATAAACAATGTATATGTAAAAAAAATTGAGAAATTTGTTGGGTTTAAAGAATTTACTACCACAGCAGTAAATTTTTTTATTTATTTATTTTTTTTTTTTTATATCTCAGCCGTTTGAGTGGAATTGTTGGACCGACTTTAAGACTAAAGTTTTTCTGTACCATCTTTTAACTGAATATTTTTCCAGTTTTAATCAACTAATGATACCTCTTCATGCTGTATATTTTTTATATCATCGCCATTTTGCGGTTCCACATATATGTGAATAATATTGAATTACAACAAAAATTAAATAAAGTACAAATTGTTGATGATAGCAATCAAAAGATTAGCTAAATTACAACATAAACAATTTCGTATTTGATTGATCACTGGAATCAACAAGTTTGCGAAACAGATCATTAATTTGTTCACCTATATGCATAGCAATACCTACAAGAGTGACCATGTAGTATCCGTGGTTCACGTACAATCATTCCGCAGCAAAGTAAATCACACGCCTACTTTAATGAGCTCCCCATATCTCTCTTAACATACTAGTGTATACAGCGCTTAGATATTGGCAAGACTATTTTATGGATTCCAAAACGCTACGAAAGAAAATTTTTGCATTTTTTGGATAAGAAAATGTTTTACTCATTACTGTTTTCAATACATTATTCAGAAAATTTATTTTTTTACCAGATAAGTGCAATACGTTTCATATATATTTCAGTTTAGGTGTAATGCATCAAGTCTGTAAAAGCTTCATTTGTTGAAACTAATCCTCACGCACTTTACGAAAAAAAAAAAAAAAATTTGACGCTACTTGGATCCAATCCTTCGACACCATTTACAAAATACGCAATCCAAGTCAAAACAGCATTGTCCAGCCGTCCAATTACAAAGCGATACCCAAGACACCATATTAAATACCAGCAGAGGATCACAAGTACAAAGATCGGAATCAGTAGTGCTCGATTTACTTGTACAATCGATTGGCCCGATAACTTGGTATCTACAATCGTGTGCACGCAAACACGGGACGAGTGTATATTATATACCTGAGAGACAAGGCCTATAGCTGTGGAAGGACAGACCGCCACGTCGCGCCACCGTAGCCCCTATTTCTTCGACTTCCCTCTGGCTCATCGTCGTGGCGGCCAAGCGGCTCTCGTGTATATACATACATATTATATCCGTGGTAATACACTGTATGTACACGCGTTGGGGCCAATAGTTGCAAGTTGGAATGAGCTGCAGTTTTCGCGGTCAAACGGGGATAATAGAGGAGGGAATTGTGCGCCGAGCGTATACGCACAAAGCCCGGCTGGCCGGCCGCGACGATTCCAAGGAGTGTTACGGTGCAGAAAGCATTTTTTCGAACTCGGGCGTCGGGCCCGCGTGGCTCGGTCCCAGCTGGAGCAGTACAGACGCCTTTGTCGGGCGCCTGCGGTACCCACGTATTTTTGGCATTGTTGCTGTAGCCTCGGGTGGTTTTTCGGGAGGCCGTTCGGTTGATGGGGTAAAAGGGAAGTGCGCACTGGGATGTGCAAGGCTCGCTTCCAATTTTCGTTGGTTTCCCATGCTGGGTGTACAGCTGGAGTTTTATTTTTCACCTGTGACAATCAGGTCAGTTGAAAAAAATCTTCTTCATTCCTTACGTATGAGATCCTCATGGGGTTTCCGGATCGTTACGGCATTTCACGGATGTACCCAATTATTTGTATTTTTTTTCCTAAGATTGTCCACACCGACCGATTTTCAAATGACACAAGTTCCCATACAAGTACAAGTATAGCGTGCTCGCGATCCATGATTCAAGCTCGCGGAGAGAGCAGAAAAAAAAGTAGCAAAACACTTGCTCCGAGGTCCGGCAGTCCGAAGTGAGTAATAAATAAAACTCGTGGGCGTGGGCTGTCGCACGCAGCAGCGAGAGACGTATGGGCTCTTGAGAAAAATGCAGTGCGCTGTGTACCCTAGGTACAACGCACGACCATCAGAGCCGACGGAAGGCGTGCAGCGTGTGTGGGTAAGTAGCAAAACACCTCGGATCCAAGAAGAAAAAAAAAAGGACTCACGGCTTACTCACTTGTATAGTGGTAAAGTTTAGTCGCCCGATGGCGCGTCCGTGCGATGGATTCATCGAGGACCCAGGTGAATAATGGCGGGGCATTAATATCACTCGGCTTTTCCGAAGAGCAGTCGGGGGGTGATCCTATAGGACGCGCGCCGCTTAGCAGGTGACAACAAGGTGCACGTCTCGTTGTTCCGAGGGGCTCATCGGCGTGTGTGGGTGCATGTTTGTTTGGATCTTACGGAGAGAGATTCTCGTCGAATGACTTTGGGACGCGTTGGACCACAAAATGCGCCAAGATAAATGTCCCACTTCAATCAACGGACCTCTATGCTCGTCTACCCTCGCCCTCCCTTCTCTCTCTCTGTGTGTTTGTGTGTATCTGGGCCGAGGACTCTGCCATTTGTCTTGCGTATACATGATACTCATAGCGCAGTGTGCGTAAAGTGTGAAGAGGAGGACGGCACAATCTTGTGCATCCTTCTTTCGGAGTTTTTGCGCGCTTCGTGGGGACAGAAACGAGGATTTACGTGATTTCGAGCGCATGCTGACGATCCGCTCGTACATCATCGGAGGAGGAAAGGGATGTTGGCTCGGTGATTTTAATCTCGTGCCATTTGTATGCTAATGATACGGCCGTGTGCAATCGTTGCGCGTATGGAGCCTCACAATGGGCGCGAAGAATCGGTAAAATTGCCCGAGATGACTGTCCGACGGTGGCACGAGTGCGGTAGAATCGTTTCTGCGGCCCATTGGACTTACTGTTTTTTTTTTATTCGTTTGCGAATGAAATTTTGGAACAAAAAAATTTCTCATTAAATCCTACTCTTGTCGATGATGATGTTTTTGGTTTCGCGTACAGTATGCAGCTCGGTTGTCGAACACAGGGGAAAAACGACGCGTCTTTCGTACGGATGAAAGTTTTTGTTTGGCTTTCTCACATTTGTAGAATCACCGATTCTGCCATACGAAGCACAATTGATGCAATGAGTGAATAGGTGTCGTGTTTATGTGTGTGGTAGCAGTAGCAGTAGTTAAAAAAAATAAAATAAAATAAAACAAATAAAGGAAATCGTGAACGTTAGCACACCTCGCAACTTACCAACGCCAGCGACGTGGATCTTCTTCATCCACGGGTAGATGATCCTCTCGCCGGTCTCCTCGTCCTCCTCCTCGTCCTCGGCCATACCTGGCGAACCGTCCAGCATTTGGTCGTCGTCCAGATCATCCGAGCCCGAGCCCTCCTCCTGATGATGCTGCTGCTGTGCCACCACCCCCCGTTGCTGCTGGTGCTGGTGCTGTTGTTGTGCAGCCTGTTGTTGGCTCTGCAGCTCGGGCGAGCAGTCGTTGTCGCGGTGCAGTGAACCCGAGCCCGCAGGACTGCATACATTGTTACCCCCGGCTTCGTGGGGCTGCTGTAGGCTGTCCTGCTGCTGGGCCATGTGCATCAGCGAGGGTGACAGCGCCGTCGAGCTGAGCACCGTGGACGCCGACACTATCTGTTGGGGGAGCTGTTGCTGTTGAATGGACGCGGGCGGGCAGGACGTGAGGGGCGGCTGTTGGGCTTCGGGTGGCGTCGAGTGGTGCTGGGCGTGCGGGTGAAGGGTCCCATGGTGGACCTGGTGGTGCGGGTGGTGGGCTGGCGCGTAGTAGCCCCCGTAGCTGGCGTAACCCGTGCTGTTGAGCGGCACGGCCGAGGACGCGGCGGCCCCGACGGCGTAAGGCGTCGAGGCCGCCTGATGTGGGTGCTGATGGTAGCCGTACTGCAACTGGTGGGACTGGGGGTGGTGGTGGTTCAGGTGATGGCCACCCGAAAAAAAGTCCGTTCTACTCTGGGCTATGTAATTGTTCTGACTGTACTCGTCCGCCGGGGGAAATTGAGGATCGAGCATGTGATGGACCATTGGCTGCTGGTGCTGATGGTGGTGGTGGTGGTAGTTGCCACCCGCGGTTGGGTTCATCTGGAGGTACGAGCTCATCTTGCCCCTGTTTACCTCGTGCTCAGTGTCCACGAGGATCGACGATTGCAATTATTAACACTCGATCGAGTACAACTCGTTCACGGTACATTGTTCTCACAACACGCGATCCGACGGACGCGGCCGCAGCAGCGCGTGCCTTTCCATCGTCGCCACTGACAATATATATATATTTCCACTGACTTTTACCGATTCTACGATTATTCGCGCAAAATACGAAATCGCGTCGGTATTTTTAACAACATCAACAACAAAACAACGAACTGCAAGTGCGGATAGGAACGAAAAACAATGGGAAACCCAGGGAGCGTCGCGCGACCGCGGTCCCTGCCGCAGCTCGCGTGCACTATTGCCCAACTGGACCTGCACGACGGACTGGCGTGCCCCACAATACGCGTGCGTGCCACAGAAGAATACACGCTCTCCTCTCCCCCTTGGCACGGCCTCGCACACCACTTTGCTACGTTCCTGCACGTATGGTGCGCCAGTCAGCTTACACACACACGCGTCCGAGCCGTAGACGGCAGCGGGAGGCGGGGAGGAGAGCGGCAGCTGCCGGGGTGCCCGCCCACTCGAGCCCAATTACCATACCACGTGACCGCGAGCACCGGCCAATCAGAGCCCACCACTGCCCGCGTTCGCGACCATGATGGATGGCCGGCTCGCGTGCGAGTGGAGCGCCGAGTCTCCTGTGGCAGGTGCACCAACCTCCCTTCCCGGACTTTTATGGCCGCGTTGCACCCACGGCACTTTTTTCACACTTTTTTTTTTGTTCCTGATCCTCGAACTCTGGCGCACGTTTTTAAAATCTTTTAAGTTGGTCGTGGTGTTTCTTGTCACTCTCTTGGGTAAAAATTTTCGCCACTGGTTGAACGATTTTCATCTGGGATCGGGACAACAGTCCGATGACGCACAATGCCAGCACTGTAACGATCAAAGATCGGCATGTACGGTTAGTTAAAAGAAGGGGGCAACGTGTAGCACGGGGGAGAAAACACAACAAATTTAAAGGACGGGTGAGGAAGGCAGGTAATATAAAACAACCATGCACGCACGGAGCGGAGAAAGTAGCGTGAGCTTCGGCCGGCTTGGGCACACAGTCTGTCGAGTGTACCGGTCAGGCGCCCGTTTCTCTGTAGCGTCAGGCGCTCCCACCCTGTCCCCTTTCTCCTCGTAGAGTAGGCTAGCAGCGATCCCCACCATGTCGGGACACGTCCCCACCCCTCGTTCGTTCGATCGGTGGGTCCAACCCCTGTGGCGCGCGTGTGTGTGGGTACCGAGCATGGGCGCAGCCCGTGGATCCTATGCCTTTGCCCACGGGAGAGAGAAGGAGTCACTCCTACGCGCTTCTCTATTCCTTCAACCCGCCCTTCCGTCACTCGGAAGCTGCGGCTTTTCCCTTTTTCCGTGCAGAAGGACGCATCGACATCCCTGAAGCAACGAGAAAGATGGGGGAATAGGTTTTTGTTGTTGTTGTTGTTATTGTTGTGGAAAAAGCGCGAAAAGGGTATCTTGTGCAGGTATAATATATGTGTAGGTCTGCCTATAAGGGGATTAGTGGGCCCTAAATGACGCGATGTATACGATTGTGTTCACGGATGATGAGTTTGCGAATGCGTGCTTTTCCACCGATGATCGGGGATTTTTCTGACCGAGAGCCGATGTTGGGTAATTCTTTGCTCGTGTGAAATGCGTATATGTATGCGAGGAGCGGTTTGAGAGCCGTGATTTATGCGCTGGGCAGGTTTTATGGCCAGTTAAGGAGCGATTTGCCTCCATTGAGGCTGCGTTTCGTCATCGATTATCCGTCCGGGTTGTGGAAGTGGGTTCTAATGGGTAAGGGGACATTTTTTAATCTCCTTGTAAAACATTATGTGGGGTGTTTACCAATTGGGTGCTATGGTATTCAGGTGTATTTGTGGGATAATAATTTTATTTCATCACCAATTGTTTCGAAAGAGACTTTTTTTTATCATCACCCTACGATTTCTTTTACAATATAGGATAACTATTTACGACGTATTTCAATTATTCTGATACATATTTTAACACGTCGTTTTAACTCTTAGACGTAAAAAATTTCGTCACACAATATTCCCATTGCAGTACTTCCACCCCATAATAAATTATCCCTTTAACTTTTATATTTTATTCCAACGTACTAAAATCAGTTTCACTTCAAAAAGCATCCAAAATTCAAGAAACATATCTACACTTCTTGATGTCCACTCTTTTCTTTTAATTTTCTAAAAAGTCATTTCGCTTTTATAAGTATGACTGCTCCACAGATGTAAGTACCCAATATGCAATTTTCTCCAGAACAAATAAATCGTTTATTTTTGATAACACAACTATTTTGAACATACTATGAGATTAATCGGTTTTTATTTATGTTAGTAATCAACTCCAGGTTGTGTAGGTAGACAAACTCTTAGATTATTTCAAGTAGTATTCACGTGGTTGAGCTAATAGAAAACTTCGTATTCGTACGATAATATTTTGAGGTACATCATAATTTAGATTTTACTGCCAGTTTATACAAATTTGACACTTTCTTCAAGAATAATAAGTTAGAGCTCACCAAAATATTAGTAAATAATAACGTTTATATATGACCGAGTTGACGTCATTCTAAACTTTTCGACAGGATCTATCTATTTTGTATCTTTTCCATTGATAGGACAAAATGGTTTCACTACGAACCTTGTAATTTATAACAACATGTAGGGAGTAAAGGCTGATTGATTCTTTCTTTCAAGATCGGATAAATCATCAACAATATCAGGATTATTTCCAGTGCAAAAATTTGGAAGGAAAGAGCTATTGATTATCCTTTGAGCCTAGAACTAATAGTAATTAAATACATCTGATCATATGCAAAAGTATGTACTCAATTTACACTACGAGTGAAAATGTGAAAAAAAATAAAAATGTTAGTGAACAATAGTAAATTTTACCAATCGATTGTCAATAGTTTTTACAATGGACCCAAACAAGCCCCACGATAAAATCAATAGCTCACGATGACATTCAAAGACAATTAAAACATTCAAGCTCATCGAGAGAAAAACATGACGATAAATTCGCAAATGAAGTTGTCAAGTCCCACCGTGCACGCGCGTGAGTCCCAACCGAAAACCAATCGTCGTATGGGTACATACGCAGGATGGACGAATCGCGTTCGTGGCGGGCCCATCACAATAGCCTGCAGGGCTGAAAATATTGGTTGGAACGCGCGTCGAGGCAGCCGTGAATAACAGGTATAAATCGTCCGAGGGAACAACACACCACCGCGCGGGGAAGAATTGGTGACTCGTGAAAAGCCATCATCGTGGCTGCGGAGGATAGACGTTATACGTGGGTATACGTGTATAGGTGAGCGCACTCGTCCTTACGCATGGAGGATCGATTTTCCCGTGAGTAAGGAATCGTCCTCAGCGCTTACGTGTAAAAGTGTAATAATATATGTCGAGGACACTTACACGATGGTTGTGTATTGGTGCTGTGCACACGTGTCTGCCTGTAAGTTCGTGCTGTTGTGCGTCGGACGCGGCCTCTGCGCTTTTGTACGTGGCCTCGGCTCCGTTCATTTATCAAAACGACCGCGAGCCACCCTTAATAAGTGAAAGCAGAAGAATGAGAGTAGAATTCGAGCTTTTGTAGGGATACGCCGTCTTTTCCTCCTTTCACTCGCACCGCACGGGCGAGAGAGAAAGAGAGAGAGAGAGCGTTTAATGAAAATTAAAGTGTGAAATTGATAATTCATTTCTTGGTCGTTTGCGGTGACTCTGAACCGTTCATGTTATTTCTCTCTCCTCTTCTTCCTTGCTGCTCGCCTGTGTAAACAATAATGATTGGGCGAAATTTTTTTTTCTCGCTAATCGCAGGTGCGTGCAGTAGATTCGGAGATGCGAGGGGTGGTTTTTCTCCCCTAATATCAATAATCCGTACAACGATTTGTTTTGAATATTAAAAATGTTTTGTTTCGAGTTGTCCAAGGTGAAGTATATATAAAAGTCGTCCGTGTGAAAATTTCCGGGTGTCAAGAGTAAAAACTCATTTGAAACGTGTCCTGGAAATGTGTCAAATGCACGAGCTTGAAGGACCCTCGTGTCCTTTCTGTACCCCTCGAAGCGAGCAGTTGAATTATCACTGAACCCCTTCGGAGGAGACGAAACTCCTCGAAACTTTTCCGAGCAGGGGTCAAAGTCAGATTCGACAAAGTGCGATAACAGCAGACTTTGCTTCGAGTTTCACGATTTTGCTTTAATTACAACTCGCCACCCTTGATGAATGTGACGTAAAAATCATGTTGAAGCTTCCGTGACAAATATGTTTTGACGAATTTTTAATTAAAAACAGGTTTTTGTCCAGAGTTATCGAAATGTGGATAAATCTAACGAGGGCGTTTCGCACCAGACAAAAAGAGGGAGCCTAAAATATATAGGCAACTGTTGTACTCATCGCTCACGAGTGTGTAGTGGATCATCCCCCCGCGTGGTGTACGCACTCGAGGACGTCGTTTCCTCATTTCGCAGCTCCACGTGCACGCGTTGCTCCCCCTTTCGTGTTGTGTCCTTCTATCATGCCTCCTCCTTCTTTTATCGTATACGAATGTGCGTCAGCCGGCTCCTCGTTCTTTCCGCATTCCCTCTCTCGATCCTTATCTCCCGCGCCGTCGAGGTGGTGGCCTATCTCCCCACCCCCCTCCCTTTCACCTTATTACGTCTCTTTTGATCCTTTTTTCCGCCCTTCTCTATCTCCCGCTCTTTTCTGTAGCTGCTGCGTCTTCCGGCGAAACACTATCAATCACTTCTCTCCGGCGTGACACCCCCTCGCGCATACTCCCACTCGCCTCTCCCTCTCGAGCAGCAGCTCTTTCTCCGTCTTTCTTGCTTTTTATCTCCTCGAAGCTGACGAGGAGTCCTTGCTCTTCCAACTAAGACGAGCCGGGGATACTCGGGCCTGGTATATCGCCCTGCAGGAATGCGATATCTAAT